ATCGGGAATCTAGACTGAGGGAAGAATTTTCTTATTGTTAATAAACAAAAAATATATGTGGTAAAAAGAGAGTTAGTTAAGCCATGTATTTTAATGCCTGCCTTACTGCTTCTGACTTGTATATTATACTCTGTGTCAGCAGTCTGGTATTGCACATATACCACAATTAAAAGTGTTTTGACAGTAGGAACATAAATCAGTTGCAAGGGCTTGGTTTGAAGAAGCAGAAATCTAAAAATAAGAGAAAATTGAAGAATTGCATTTCTATTCTGATTCTAAGGCGGCATTGCTTTGTAAAACTGTATTTCTCCTATGTCCCGTGTCATTGTTTTATTTGCTATTAAATAGAAATAGCAATACAGATGCCCTTCTGTCTCTGGGTATCCTGCAGAATGTTTAACATACACATCAAACTACCATTTCCTTAATTTTGGCTCCCTGAGAGCCCCAAATTTTAATTGAACTTATGCCAGTAAATATTGGTATGTAATTTTGATGTCTCCAAGATGTCAAAAATAAAGATGGGGGTTGAAGCACGGTCCAGTGCCGATCCTCTCTTTTGCTTATTTGGTGAGTGGTTTTTATCCAGTGCTGCTTAATATTATTTACATTCTAGATTTGAAAATTGAAACATTATAAACAGGAATTCTGCCTTCATCAGTGATCTAGCTTTGCTCCTCTTACTGGATAACGTCACAGGTTCAATTTATGGAGCGTGACATTGCACTCATTGGTGACACCATTGTCAAGGCTGATAAAGTTTGATTAATATGAGTACTTGCTTTAAAAAATAATTTACATTTCATATTATCAAAACTTGTGTTAAAACCTCAACTTATTAGAAGTTGTTGACTTAAATTACGGGGGCGGGGGGGGGGGAGACGAAAAGAAGTAAGCTGTATGTATACTGCCAAACTTTAAAAATAAGATCAGGCCCCTAAAAATTTGATATCTTTGGTTAATCATGACATTTGCTAAATACCTCAGGTCAGAATTTCCCAACTGGGAAGACAACTTTTGAAAGACATCGTCTGTCTTCAGAGGAAAGATGTGAAACTGTTTTGTGGGCCATAGCTGAATGAAGTTGAACTGCAGCTTGAAATAAATAATGAGTATTAAATACCTAAATATTAAAGCAGAGTAGTTTGACTTACTATTTTTAATAAGCTGAAAATTAAAATCTGAAACCATATTGAACCATATGAAGAATATTTTAATTGATTTAGATCAAATATTTTTGGTTTTAAACACCAGGTGCCTTTGCTACATTGTACCTCCATCACCTCACTTTTTTTTTTTTGGAAGGTCTTTGGCTATCCAAGCAAATTTAACTTCAGTGATAAAACATAAAATACTAGTTATAATAGTCTAGAGAGAACTGCTAAACACTATTTGCAAGATTCTGAAAACAGCTAATATAAATATTAATGTGAATGGATTATAAAGTAAAAGAAACTCCAAACTATATTTCTTGATGTAAGGCCTAAAATTCATCACAGAAATGACAACATTAGTAATGTACATTAAATGGTCAATGCACTGATTTCATTTGCAGAAATACCAGTGCCTTGTTGTTGGAGTTGCCCTAGATCCATAGTCTTTAATAGACTATCAAAACTGCTAAATTAAACAAAAAAAAGGGAAATAATTTAGACTGTAAGGCAAAATTGGTGTGAGAAAACCTGCTTTAAACTTTTAATAACTGTTACATATGTTTTGTGTCTTTTGTTTTTACAGATTTCCTTTTTGCCTCTGGAGTGTTTCGTTATGGCAGCCTCCAGTGAACAATGACATCCTTTGACAAATATAGATGCCAAAAAGCCAGACGAAAACAGTGGCCTTGTTTCGTTTTTACTCCAACACAGTGAAATGGTGCTCTTAAAGTTTTGTTATTGACTCTTACTGGAAAAAAACAAACTCCTGACTGGAGCTTTTTTCCCCAGCCCTCTCCCAGTGTTCTTATGGATGCTTGACCCAGTGACATCATGTAGTAGGCCCTGAAGTGTTGTCATAATTAAGTTGCAATGGTTTTATACACTTCCCCATTTCCCAACAGCTTTCTGTCAGTTCTGCATTCTTTTTCCTGGGGCCTGATTTTCCCATGTTATTGGTTAGCAGATAGGCTTGTGGCCTCTTTTGTTCCAACCACCTATGAAAAACGTCAAAGAGCAGACGATCCATGCTATTTTCATGCACTCTGCATCATTATTACCACTCCGATCTACCTGGCGCTGTTGGTAGCCTCTCTTCCTTTTGCTCTGATTGGCTTCTTGTTATGGTCCCCGCTCCAGTCAGCCAGAAGGCCATACATCTACTCCAGACTAGAAGACAAGAACCGTGCCAATGGAGCCACACTGCTCACTGAATGGAAGGCTGCAGGGAACGGGAAAAGCTTCTGCTTTGGCAGTGCCAATGTCTGCCTGCTGCCAGATTCTCTGGCAAGATTTAATAATGTTTTCAATACACAGGCTAGGGCTAAAGAGATTGGCCGGAGGATCCGAAATGGGGCAAGCAGACCACAGATCAAAATATATATAGATTCTCCTACCAACACATCCATCAGTGCGGCAAGTTTTAGCAGCTTGGTCTCCCCCCAGGGTGGAGATAGCACTAATCGTACTGTTAATGCTGGCATCAAAAGGACAACATCAATGGAGTATAAAGGAGACAATTCTGGCTCAAACAACAGTGAGGACAGTAGAGAAGATAAAGGTGGAGCTGGAGAGCCAAATGAGGGAGAAGAAAACACTTGCATTGTCCGCATAAATGGAGAGGATAATGGCCACATGTCAGACACAGAAACAGACACCCTCAATGGCCAGGCTCATGCCAGTGGCCCAGCAGAGCCCTCACTGGAAGGTGACGCGGAGGTCTCAAAAACACCTAACCACAAACAGAAGGAAGGAGATTCTGGGAGTTTAGACAGCTACTCTGCATCACGGGAGTCCTTAGTTAAAGTTCGCGTTGGAGATGGTACAGTGGACCAAAGCACTGTCAACAACAAGCTCCTCTACAAAGCTTCAATCATGAAGAAGACTTCAGTGCGGAAAAAGAAAAATACAGATGAGACCTTTGATCATGAGATCTCTGCTTTCTTCCCTGCCAACTTGGACTTTCTGTGTTTGCAGGAAGTGTTTGACAAAAGAGCTGCGGAGAAATTGAAAGAGCAGCTTCATCACTATTTTGAATACATTGTCTATGATGTTGGGATCTACAGTTGCCATAGCTGCTGTAGCTTTAAGTTTGTGAACAGTGGTCTGCTTTTTGCCAGCCGCTATCCTGTTATGGATGCTGCCTATCACTGTTACCCCAATGGAAGAGGAACGGACTCCTTGGCTTCCAAGGGAGCCTTGTTTCTCAAGGTAAGAGCCTTTTTGAAGCCATCCATATTGACTCTATAGATGTGACAAATTATAAAGTTATTTTCTCTCAGTCATTTCTGTTAGAGTTCAGAGAGGCAATATTCAGATCTAGATTACCTACTATAACCTATATATAGGTTTTGTGGCCTAGATACTGTGTTAAAGTGATGGATGTGCATGAAATAATGAGGGAAATAATGAAATAATGAGTATAATTTCAAGTGTCAAAATTTGAAGTAGTTTTCATGTAATTTTAGTTTCTTTTCTTTACAGAAACGTCTTTAATAAAATGCAGAAATTCTAAGCTTCATAACACGAGTATAGCACAATAGGCGTTATTGTTGGAAACCAGCTTATGCATGTTGTATGTTTATGTGGGAATCAAAAGACAATCAAAAGTCTAAATGCCAGTAAAATAAAACTGAAAGAATTGCAATGAAATGTATGGCTATCCCTCTCTCTTGGTAGCAAAAGAATTGTTAAGGAGAGATACGAAGAAGAGTAAACAAACAAAAAAAAGAAGCAAGGGACACTGGGGAGCACAGAGCTTTTTTTGCTTTATCAACACAGTGTACTTAAATTAACTAATCGTAGTGAGAACAGGAAGCCTGGGGTTATAGGTCTGTAAATCATGAAAAGCAGAAATAAAAGTCTGCATGCAATGACTTGCTTTTCCAAGACTAGTGCCGTTCATGCTTAATTCTTGGAAGAATCTGGCTATGCTCTTCAGAAACTGGAAAGCAGGCTCTTCTAATTTGTGATTAATCGAGAACCAAAACTTTGTGCAGAGATCCAAATCTATAGGCCCAAACCTAGACAGATCTGAAAATCTCCTAGAATACTGGATTTCAGATTTTGAGATTTTGTCACAGTTTGGAATGGGTTTCACTAACTGAAACCTGAACTTTTTTTGTAGTGCTAGCAAAATACATCAGGTGCTCAAATTATATGTACTTTCTAGTGCTTATGCTCATGAGTCCTCAACAAAAGCCATCAATAGCCGTTAAGAATATGGATTGTTAATAAGGATCAGTGGGGGGTTTTGTACCCACTGTTTGTAATTTGTAAACAAAGCAAAAACTTTCAGTATTGTGGCCTGCATAAAAAAAGCAAATTTTAGAATTTGTGGTCTGATAGTGGTTCAGTATTTCATATACATTTGACATACACAAAAACCTATCCGTATCTGAATACAGGTTTCCAAAAATTGAGTCTAAGCTTTCTATACTCTACTCTTATGTGTTTTTAAACAGCTAAAGTTTATTTTTTTCATCATAAAGTACTGTGTGCTGAAAATGAACATACATGTTGTGCCATGTGAATATGATCAGGGTCACAAAGACTGCCCTTCAACATATGCATATATTAGGGATTAAGAGATTAAAACCAATCTGCTTTCCACTGCCCATTGCTGAGTCATTGATTTGCTGCCCTGCTAGGCAGGCCGCAACGTCTCCATTTCTCTTGCAGAAAATTAAGCCTCTTTTCAAAATTCCACTGAGGTGATGAGCTTAATTATGGATTCGAGTTGTTAAATAATGTTACAGTTGTGCAGGGAATAGGGAACGATTATTATGAAGATTCGAAGACGATGACATCATTTTAAAGATGACAATTCTGGCCCAGCTAAAAGAGCATTTTTTTCCTCATGTCTGTGTCATTCTGACATACTGTTCTTTATACCTAAAATATTTTTCATTCTGAGTTAGGTCTATCCTGATATGAAATTACTTTCTGTTTTAACTGTACATTAAGTGATCATTGGTCATTTCTGTGACATAAAAAAGCAAAAACAAAAAAAGAAACCCAGTAGGAATGATCAATTTAAATTTTAGCTTTGAAACAAAGTAGGTTTGAAGGTTGTTTTTCTTGATGTAGTGTTTAATCAGCAGCTGAGTGTGTGTGGACTCCGGAGACAAAAGCTACGGTAAGTAAAAACGTGGTTTGGTTTTGAAGTCAGCAAGAATCAATCCATTAACTTCGGAAGTCTTGAGGTCTTCCACTGGGATAGCAGCAAGCTAGCAAAGCGTATCATAACTGTGGTTGGAAGGTGGCATTCTAGCCAGTACTCTGCCATCCAAAATGGACAGCTTCTATCACTGCTTTTAGATACTAATTTTACTGGCTCTTAGAATATTTTGTATGTATATAATTCGATCCTACATTAAAGTTTATCTCTGTGTGGTTTCAAAGACAGTAAGAGAGCCTTGCAGAACAAGAGTCTCCTAACTGCTTTCCATTTAGAGGTGGCATGGAGTTGTCTCTCTGTCCTATGCAAACTCTCTGTTTTTAAGTTCCTGTGTCCTGTGGAAGGCACTGTGTTCCCACTTCTGAAGTAGAAAAGACATCAATTGAGTTTTGTTTTGGTAGTATACTTAGCAAAGACTGTTCCGCTTGCATAGACTCTGAGTAAAGGAGCAATTGCTCTCTCTGTTGTTTAAAAAAAAAAACAGTTGTGAAAAGTGAGTGAGGGGAGAAGACTTGCATATTTTGAAACTATGGATAAAATCACTTAACGTTTCCAGTCATTGGGAGGATGAAGCCTTTATTCAAATCTTTCTGAACCTCAGGAAAGACTCAACATCCAAATTCCAAAGAATGTTCAGAGAAAGAAACTGGTTCTCATTTAATCAGTATGGTTTGTTTCTTCACTGTAAATGTAACTGTTAAGAAGATAAATTAAAGGTCTCAGAACTAAACATTTAATGAAAGTTGAATTATTTTGAACAAAAAGGCAAAACTGTTTTGAGGGAGTTCTCTTACAAAACAGAACCCTCCTGCCAAGGTGCAAGTGTTTCACATATTTTTTCCTTTCGGAATAGCTGCTGTTTCCAGTGAAGAAGAAATGATTTTCCATTGCCCCCCTCTTCCCTGCCCTGCCTTCACCATCTAGATTGTAAAGTTCAGGTGGAGATTTGGAAGGATTTGAGAGATTTGCTTAGTCATACAGAATTATTTTACCTGAGAGACTTACACAGCTCAAGGGTTATTATTAGTAGCTATAATAGCAATCAGCTCTTCTGTACTGCTTTTCATTCATATGTCTCAGGGTGCAGAATAAAGGTCAATATCTGCTTAATAGAAGCAGAAACTAAAACACGGGAAGGTAAAGTGATTTGATTGTGGCTTAACACCTGGAGCGTCACAGCCAAGGAAAGAAGTTGGAAATAAATTACAGAGGCTTTTAACACTGTGTCATGCTATTGACTTCATGCTACCTAACAGCTATCTGGAGACCCGTGCAAAGGAATTTTGTTAGCCTTGGTCTGTTCTCTTCCTAAAGACGTCTGCCACAAAAGGTGCTGCTGCTGGCGTTTTCCTGACACTGATCACAGACTGGTTTTTCCATCTGTATAGGCTGATGCTTTCCAGGTCAGGATGAAGGCACAAGGATGACGTAGTTGTGGGTAGCTATTGTGTAAAGTCCATTTTGTGCGTAACTGGAGGACTAATTTACATTCGGCACTTTGATCTCTTCAAACTCTAGCAATGTTTCTGTCTCCAGTCTGAGGGTCTCCTTAGGATCTAAGAGTGACTTAGTCACAGAAAAAATAGCATAGAAGAAGGGGTGAAATGTCACTTGCATCTAAGTGACAGTTTCACATCTGAAGTGTAAAACCACTGTTCCTAGTTACCACTAAAGACTCAGAGGAGAAGTTAGCAAATATATAAATCAGCCACTCCATTTTCATACTTTGACAGTCTGGGCCCTTGGGAGACTCTGCCGTGACTCTCTGTTCTAGCATTGCGTTTCACATTAATTTAAAATGCCTAAGAAAAGAACCCTGGAGTCTGCTTTGTAGGTTTTATAACTCCAATTGTCTCTTACTGCTGCTCTGCTACAGATAGAGGAGGGAAGTGGGACGGACACAGATGCTGTCCTGTGCTGGTGATTCCAACTAAAAAGCTAGCTTGTGTGTATCTGTATATAGCATGATGCAGGTTGCAGTGTTCTCAGTTACTCTGCGGCTGTTGGTTTGACACATACATAACTAATTCACAGTGGGTTTGATGAATTTGAAGGGAGTTTTAAAATACGTGTCCTTTTCAGAAACTGGATGATGATTTTGCAGTCAAATCAAGTTTAAAAGTATCAATGAGCACTGAGCAGAAACTCTGTAACGCATCACCTGTTTGGAACTTACCTGAAGGTTTCAAAATGTCAACATTCATCTTTAGATCGCAGGGTTAGTACATACCCTTAGTGACACTGTCTTTCAGGGATGCTGTGTAAGTTTTGGACAGCAGTGTAATAAAACCAGAAAACATCCTTAACTTGACCTGATGAGTTGCTGAATTGGAGAGCTTGTCCATCGTTTTCCAGCTGTATCAATCTAATAAAAACTGTCACTTCTGCCCACAAATTTTGCCTCTCTCTTATCCTTAAATTGTAATAGCTATAACTGTAACGTAAATCTAAACCATACAAGACATCCAAATGCGTACTTGGGGTAGGGAGGTGAACGAAAGAGGCTATTAATTGGTTTTGGAGTGGTTTTCCTCCCACTGAGACTGGGAGATATGGAAGTATAGAGTGTAGAAGGCTGTTCTTCCTACCGTTCTTAGTAGGAAATTATTCTGCTTTTTGGCATCTGCCGAGAGAGAATTTTAGCAAAAATAAGGATTCTTGCTTAAAACACAGTATGTGAACATTGAGCAAAAGCAAAACTGCAGTCTGATGTGGGTAGTTTGAACAGCTAATAGTATTCTAACAAATCCAAAAGGAAAAAATGTCTTGTGGTTTTTGCTAAATTTCTGAAAGCACTTGCATTTAATTAATATTAATTCCTAAGCTTATTAACAGATTTACTTTTCAAATTCTCTGAAAATTAATGCTGTTCTCAGGGAGTACAGTAATTGTGCAGAGTACATGTTACTATTCATTGCTTAAAGGAAACCTAGCAACCTTTGCTTTATGTGCAAAGCTGAACTTGTTTTCAAAAGAGCTGATGTGGTGGTAACAGATGGTAGAAGGAGCAGTAGCTCTGGTTGCAAAACTG